GAGACATTTAATCCATGAGAACCGGAAGCTTTACCTGAACTAGAAACTTTACCCAAAGAACATACCATAGTAGGCTTTTCAAGGATTTTCAATAAGTTTCTCAGCTTTTCAATCTCTTCCCTGTTGAACTCTCCTTGTTTCTGAGACATCTGTAGTACTCCAGTGATTTTTCCAGTTAACATTTCCTCAAATTGGGTGATAGTAATATCTTTCTTTGAAAGGGTTCGGCAATGAAGGCCTAAACAGGATTCGGCAATGAAGGCCTAAAAAAGTCGGCAATGAAGGCTGAAAATTTTTCTTCCCAAGAAGAGCCTAAAGCTCTGATACCATGTGGAAACTGAATGTATATTGAAAAACTGCTTATCTACAATTATACAAGAATCTTAGGTTTATATACAACTAACTAGGGGTTAAACTAGGAAACTAAATCTTCCTTAATTCTAGGGATACAAATACTTAATTCTAGAGATACAAATATAAATATACAGATTACAAGATTACAACCAGCTGTAAATAAGTGTTTTCCCACAGAAGGTATGAGGTGGCTTTGCTTTCCAAGAGTGGTGCAGTAATTGATTTTGTTGATTCGAAGATTCATCTCAAGTCCTCTGCCGTGCATAGATTTTTGCATATCATATTTCTGAACATGTTATTATTATTCAGTGGGAATATACAGGAGAATCACCTCGAAGTGGCGTAGAGAATCTAATTGCTAAAGTGCCCTTATTGAGCAAGGGGTCAACATCTGATTACGGTCCTGCTAAACTGTTACTTAATGGGGTTGGCTGGTCAATTCCACAATCACAAGGAATTAGAGGTGCCAAAAATTTGATGCCTCAAAGACATTTGGCCAATGCTAATCAGAGTTCAGTCCAAACACATGAAACAGCTTCAAACCATTTCAAGAGAGAACCCTGGTTTTGGTTCCCTACTCCAGCTGCTGGCTGGGATGGCTCTGACCTTGTTGGACGCTTTGGGAGTCCGAAAGATGAATTCCCATGGAAGATAAGAGCATCTGTTTTATCCTCAGTTCGTGCACATCAAGGGGCCCTGAGATCTTTAGCTGTTTGCCAAGATGAGAATACAGTTTTCACTGCCGGCATTGGTCCAGGGTTCAAAGGAACTGTTCAGAAGTGGGATTTGACAAGAATAAATTGTGTATCTGGATATTATGGTCATGAGGAGGTTGGTTCTGTTATTATGTTGCATTCCAATAGAACTCTGATATCCCTCGTCTATTTCTGTAATTATGTTGGTGATACGTTATCTATGTTGACCTGATATCCCTTGTTTCATTGAGTCTTCAGGGATTTAATGCAGTGAGAGAGATAAGATAAAGAGTGGATAGGTATAGGTACTGCTGCAGGAATATGATATTTTGCTAAATATCTACTGGAACACATGCAATATACTGTCTCCTTATCTAGTCATGCTATTAGTATGAAAGTACTTTATTGATCTGTTTGGTTATTGTCCCTTTGGATGTGATCGCACCATTTTGGTATTATAGTGGCCATGTGTTGATGAGGGTCATATTCAACTGACGATTGGTGAAAATATTGTGAAGACACTAAGTTTCTTTTACATGTTTGTCTATATTCTTTGGCTAAGCTTGTCAGACTTTCAGTCTCAGTTATGATATATTTCTTAGCTAAGCTTGCTATGCTTTTGGTAATATAATTGTGGCTATGTGGATTTCTCTAATTGCTTTTGGAACTTTCAGGTTGTAAATGACATATGCATCTTATCATTGAGTGGAAGAATAGCATCTTGTGATGGAACAATACATGTTTGGAATGGCCAAACAGGGAAGCTGATATCAATATTCTCGGAACCATCCACAGATTCCCTTCATCTTGCAAGCCCTTTATCTTCTCCATCAAAGATCAGTGCTGACCATGTTGATATGTTGAATTCAAACACATTATCAAGTGGAGTACTTAGTAGTCCATTTGATGGAAGCTTGTACACTTGCATGCACTATTTAGAGCATGTTGAAAAGGTTGTGGTCGGCACTGGAAATGGTTCTCTCAGGTAGCTAGTTACTATTAAGAGTGAGATTTCAATTGTTAAATCAATCTGATATAAATAAAGAATCGTGTTGTAATGCCTTTCTGCTTGTATTTTTCTACATGAAACAGATTTATTGATGTTTCCCAAGGCCGAAAGCTTCATTTATGGAAGGGTGAATTCAGTGAATCTGCTTTTCCTTCTCTTGTCTCTGCCATATGTTCATGTGGGTCTGACAAAGAGCAAGGAAATGGAGTTTATGCTTCACCACGTTGGACTGCAGCTGGACTAAGTTCTGGTCACTGCCGGTTGTTTGATGTGAGGAGTGGAAATGTTATTGCTTGTTGGAGGGCTCATGATGGATATGTTACAAAGGTATATGCCTAATTCACCAAATTAGTGGGAGAAAGAACTTATACTCGAAATGCAGTTTCATTCATTTTGCATACATGCAGTTGGCTGCCCCAGAAGAACATTTGCTTGTTTCCAGCTCTCTTGACAAGACTTTGAGAATTTGGGACTTGAGAAGGTAATTATTGAAGTTGAAATTTCATGTTATTAGATAGAAATATACAACGCTTCATTAGAAACATTTTGCAGTTGGTTGATATCCATGCAATTCTGATTGCTTCACTAATGTTTCTTGCAGAAATTTACCGGAGCCTGTCACTTTCAAAGGACATAGTGATGGAATATCTGGTTTCTCTCTGTGGGGCCAGGATGTTATTTCCAATTTCCAGAAATAAGATTGGACTTTCCTCATTAGCTAAATCCGCTGATGAAGTACGTAAACAACAATATATGTCTCACTCTATTGCGTTAAGTTAAAGCACATAGCTTATATCTCAAGCCTTTAATGTTATTTGGATTGCTAAGGATGTTTCCTCATTGCTATATGGATTACTAGTATTATCTAGTTTTTATCAATTTCATATTTAGTGCTAAAGAAAAAAAAAGAAAAAGGTTTTCCCATAATGATAGTGAAAACTGAAATGCATATGGCAGGATGGGCAACATCGAGTAATACCTCAAAAGCTGTACTCATCAGATAATGGAAGTAGAAACATGTCGGTGCTGTCAAGTATAAGTATAATACCTTTCTCTCGACTGTTTGTAGTCGGAACAGAAGATGGTTATCTGAGAATCTGTTGTTAGATGGGAGATGGGAGATGTTTCCTGCGCTGATGAATCATCAATGTCGGTCAAACCAGCTAACGAATGGGCTTTTCTTGTTTAGTCTATAGTTTTGTCTGTAAATTTTCAAGTGCAATGACTAATGAAATTCATTCAAAAAGATTGTTTTGCCAAATTTCTGGTCTGAATAAAAGTTGCAAACTTTTTTCTTTTTTCTCCTGTGTTATACATATGTAATGTACTAAGGGTTATGATATTCATGTAAGATATTATAATCATAGTTGTGTATTAGTTTTGAATGATTTGGTACTCTCATCCCATCCCATGAATTACTATTACTATCATTGTTTTGTTTTCTAAATAAATATATGCCAATGGCAGATTAATACTTATAAAGGAAGAGGAATTCAGAACCGTGAATTTTAAAAAGGTGTATCAATCAAACTCTGCTAATAATAACACTGGCTCAGAATTGCTAGTTGATCTTTCATTTTACCAACATCCCATTACTATTTTTTCTTTTTTTGTTTGAATTAACAGCAATTTGATTATTTAGCAGTCTAAAGAGTGGTCTCAATGTAATTGTAGCTTTCAATATCCCAAAGAATAGCCCCATGCTTGAGGTTTGGTTTTTACATTTTTGCATCACATCCTTTGATTACATAAGTCACTATTCATTGGCATTTGGCTTTAATTAAAGCAACATCTTATAGGTTGATCTTTGTATTCCCATCATCATTTTGGTTCCCCTTTTCTATCTGGGTTTGTACAGGCAAATGCTGAAAAGAAGTTGGTAGAGAAGCTAATTGCCCTGGGCTACTCGAGGCCTAAATCCCCGGGGCCAGGGTTGTCTTCATAGCCAAACACTGTGATTTATATTTGCATTGTATTTGTAGCAGCAAGCAAGTAGATTATAATAGTCTACAATGTAGAATCAGTTATGGGATCTTTTTAACTTATTTTATTGAATGGTCGAATCACTATTTTCATCAATCAATGATTCTGTAATTTGTTTGTTCTGAAAGGAGGATAAGTATGTATGTAGCTATATTAGTTAGCCACATGAGAATAAGTTGGAGTGCTCATGAAGCTCAAAAATCTTAATTATTTTTTTCTTATTTCGAGGTAACTTTAAAAATTAAATCATAAAAAAAAGTTTTGAAACTTTATATTTGTAGACAGTTACAATGATTTATACATTTTTTTAATTAGTACGAACAATTATAATCGTCAATTAAATATTTAATTTATATATATATATATTTGAATAAAATAACTATATAATTCAGCCATTGCAATCCAACTGCGTATTATTATTATTATATATATATTTTTTGCTCTAAAATGAGAGAAGGATGTGGATGAGAAGAAACACCGGTTGGCTCAATAGGGCTGGGCTGGCTTGTTTGGTAGACCCTCTTAGAAAAAGAAATTAAAAAGAGATCCGTACTATTGTACTTGTAAAAATGTGATATCATTAGGCATGGAAGAATTAATTTTCAACCAGCTAGCTTTTTGATTTATTCTCATTTCATTGGATTGCAGAGCCTGCAAGGAAAAGGTACACGGCATATTCTTTAAAAACTTCTACTCGAAAAAATGCTTCTTTGGTTTTGAAAACCTTAATTACTTGATGGTCCATCTTTCATTCAGCAAGTAGAGAATGGATGCTTGTTGATTTGTTACAACAATCTTCTCTATAATCAAAGGATAACAGTCGATTCCTCAAAAAACTTTTTACGTTTGGAATAACAAACGCTTTCTAGTCTCCTTGTAATATATCTATATCTATATATATATATATGTATATAACCTGCTTATTTGATCCCACAAGGTTGTAATATTGTCTAAGAATTTGCACCCAAAAATTTGTCTCCATGGCTAGTTCCATCTCCGGCAACCTAGGCGAGGGTAGCTATCCTTGAAAGATGTTTGTTTATGATTTTGTGCATGCAATGCCTGGTTTAGTGTTTTTATTAATTTCTGCTCATATTTTTGCCCTAATTATAAACCTTATTGTCTATGACACTATTAATTGCAGAAGTTGCAAGATCCATATCAGAAGAATCACCGAGTCATTACATACTAAAGATACAGTCATTTTCATTACTTATAAAGAATGGCATAGAAAAATATGAATCTGGAGAGTTTGAAGCTGGTGGATACAAATGGTATTATTAATTTCTTTATATATATATATATATTTATTTATAGTACTATATGTTTATCACTGATCGGTAATGTTAGCATTAGCAACCTGTAGTTTTTTTGTATAGGAACTGCACTAGCTTAGCCTAACTTTTATTTCTGTATGTGCTCACAGGAAACTGCTTCTGTACCCAAATGGAAACAAGAGCAAAAATGTGAAAGAGCACCTTTCTCTCTACTTGCTTTTGGCTGATGTTAGTTCTCTCATTCGTCATAGTCGGGAGGTCCACGCTATTTTCCGGTTTTTCTTGCTTGATCAGAGCAAGGACAAGTACTTGATAGTTCATGGTACATATTAATTCCATGCAGTTTTCTTCTTTTTTTTTTTTAAATTATCAATGAACGTGACAGTTTCAAAGCTTTAATTATGATTTTTTTCTGATTTTGTAGCAGCATGTTACTTTAGATTGTATATATACATAGATGAAGGTGCTTCATTCGAAATTAATTTTTTTATTGCCATGCCTAGATGCCAAGGAAGAAGACAGGCGCTTTCACAGATTGAAGCATCAATGGGGATTTGATGAGTTCATCCCAATTAGAATGTTTAATGACGTTTCCAATGGATACCTCCTGGAGGACAATTGTGTGTTTGGAGCTGAAGTGTTTGTTACCAAGGAAATGAGCTCAGGAAAAGGAGAAAGCTTATCAATGATAAAAGATGCTGTGAGTTCCAAGCATGTTTGGAAGATTGAAAACTTTTCCAAATTAGATTCAGAATGCCATGAATCACAAGAATTTTTTGCTGGCGATCAGAAATGGTATCCATTAATAACATACTTTTTCTTCTTCCATCTCCTACTCCTATATAATATTCTAGAGATTCAAGTTCAATTTTCAGGGGCTTTTTTTCATTGCGAGTTCACCTTCATGGTGCAGGAAAATACAGCTTTATCCAAAAGGAAGACGAAATGGATCAGGCACTCATATCTCCATGTATTTGGCTTTGGCAGATACAGCCAGTACTCTTATGGCTGGTTCTAGAATACTTGCAGAGTTCACTTTGCGTATTCAGGACCAACAGCAGAACAGGCACATTGCAGGAAAATGTATAAAAGCTCAAATTATCTATCTGTTAATAACATTCATCAAACATCATCAAAAAAAAAAAAAAGTCAAAATAAATTACATCATGGATATATCATATATCAAAACTTAAAATTCGGGTTTCTCTTGTTGCAGATAGTTACTGGTTTAGTGCCTCAAACCAAGAAAGTGGGTGGGCAAAATTTGTTTCTTTCCCCTATTTCTATCGTTCGGGCATTGGCTATCTAGTGAAGGATATATGCATGGTGGAAGCAGAGGTGACTGTCCAGGCAGTTGCTACTACATTGTAACTATTTTTTTTTTATATGAATTGTAACTAAAAACACTTTAGTAGCCATTCTTATGTTCTGGTATTGTTGTACTTGTAAAAAAGTGGAAGAGTCTCCTATTTATACTGTGTCTTGGAAAATATAATTATTATAAAAAACAAATTACAATATATGCTGTTGAGATTTCGGAGGATTTGGACTAGTCCCCACATATTTTTTCTAAATAGAGTTGAAGATAGTAGATTGAGATATTGTTAAGTTGAAGATTCTCTGAAGATCCAAGTAAGATCAATAGCTGTTAGTTAGAATTGATCAATTAAGTAGCCAACTGAAACCGTGATTGATCTCCTATGCAAGACACGAATTCTCATAGACAAAACCAAAGCAAATTGATTGTTTTGCAGTGCTAAAGACTGTCCTCAATGTAATCATGGTTTGCAATATCCCAAAGAATAGTCCCATGCTGGAGGTTTTGCTTCTTTTTTTCCTTCTTGTTTCTCTAGTTGCCAATGCATATCCTTTCAACTTCACTACCAATTGACATTTAATATAATTTAAGAACAAGGATCAGGCAGTCATATCTCCAAGTATTTGGCTTTGACAGATTCAGCCACTTTACTGCTGGTTCTCAAATATTTAAACATGCTCAAATTATCTGTTAATAGCATTCATCAACTATTCTCAAAATTAGAAAAAAAAAAAAGGAAAAAGAAAAAACTCTTGTCAAATAAATTACATCATGGGTATATCAGTACTTAAAATTTTGATTTCTCTTGCAGTTAGTCTCAGGTTAGTGCCTCAAGCTAAGAAGTGGGGTGGGCAAAATTTGTTTTTGGGGTAAATCTATCATTCGGGCACTGGCTGAATACATTGTAACTAATAAATTGGGACTAATGTTTGCTGTTCATGGTGAAAAAAAGGAGACAAATTTCATCTATCTATTCCACAAGCTTAAGAGTCTACAAACCAGGGCAGTTAATTCCTGGCATGGGTTTTTACGTGTTTTAAGAAAGTTCTGGAGTTATAGCGCTTTCTTACTGCCAACATATGTGAGAGAGGAGAGCCTTAAAACTCATTATATATATATATATATATATATTGTAATTACATAATTGAAGAAGAGATTGAATAATAAAAGAATACTGGAGAAATTTTGCAGCAGAGATAGATATTCCATATCAGTCAGCTTATCAAGGTTGAATTTTAGGGTCTTGATCATAACTTTGTTCACAGCTTTCAGCTTTGCTTAGTTTGAGTCTCAAGATCATATTTACTGGGCTTGATCAGGAGAAATCATGTAAATTCTAAGTTAAAGACTTCGTTATATGTATGTAATCAGAAATGAGTTCACAACTTAGTTTAACACTGGCTGTAGTCTACAAGCAGGCAGGGTAATTACAGTTTGCTCCTGCCTACTACTACGCTGGGAATAAGGACAGAACACGGAAGAGGAAGCCCGCGTCTAGCGAATATGAACAGAGCTTTGAAAAGTCATGACACTTAATTTTGCATCAATAATTGGGAAAGAAATAAGACAAGGAGATAATAATATTGTACGCAATGTCAGTGGGACTAGCAAGAAACATAAATATACACTAGTGTTCCTAGCTATTTTATAGTTGACATTTATGGTTGTGAGCTAGGGATGTTTAGGGTATGTTTGTTTTCAGAATATAATATTATTTTTTATTTTATTTTCATGAAAAATAAAATATATAGATGAAAATGTGTTTGATAATTAAAGAAGGAAAATATTTTTTGGATACTAAAACATAACTATGCCTAATTTTAAAAATAAAAATTATTTTCAATAAAAAAAATATCTAAAAGTGAAAACAATGAAAACACCAATAGTTTGAATTTTCGCTATCAGGTCTTATCAATCACCTAAATTTGGTACCTAACAAAAGTAAGAAAAAAAAAGGATTTTTGTATAATTTATATTTGTCACGCTCCGAATCGAGACATAACACGGTAATATTACCTTGAAGTAAAACCTCAAAGCAATACGAAGCCTAATCCATAACCATTAAACAACTCTTAAATATAAAAGGTTCTCATTAAGTAACATAGCTAGATAACAAGTCTCCAAAGGTTCAAAGTAGAGTATTACAACTAAAATAAATAATACTTCATAAAATCCTATATTTCTAAGTAGTTCTCCAAAGCTCGATTCTTCTAGCTTTTCTCAAGCTAATCATACTTATCATTCATAACATCTGTAAAAGAAAAGAAAATAGGGAATGAGCAAACCACAGCTCAGTAAGTAAAGGCTCACACACCTTACCGGATCAAACATCGTTTTCTTACACATCATATAAATCATTCAAAATATTTTGTCAAATCATAATGTCAAAATATGTCACTTCATAAATCATTACAAAATATGTTATCATTCAAATATCGTAGTCAAACCAAATCATGGATCAATCATTAAAAATCATCATAAATCATCATCATCATTCAAATCGTTAGCTACGGTAATTGCTATAACCCGTGACATTGGCCGTATCGACAATTTCGTTCTCATGATCATTGCTAACTATTATAACCCGTTAGCCAGGGCTTACGCTAACTACTATTACCCGTTAGCCAGGGTCGTATGATCATGTATTTGCTAACTACTATTACCCGTTAGCCAGAGTCGTAGAACTAGTTCTGGTGTCGATGATCCCACTTTCCAGGGATATAAAAACGTAGCTATCATAAAATCATTCTTTAAACATAAATCATTTTCTCATTTCAATCATAAGCATGATCCATCATTTATATAGAGAAACACAAAATAATCATATGCTTGATCCTATTTTCATACACTGAAAATAATGAAATAAAACATTCTTTCATTTAGAAACATATATATATATACATAGATTCGAAAACAAACAAAGTGTGTGAGGTTCTACTTACCTTCTTCTGATTCCACCACCTAATTTTTCTCCCTCAAAATTTAGTGGCCTATTCAAGATAATTCCAACATAACAATAATTAATCAACCCATTTGAAGCCACTTATACCAAAACAATTAAGTTAAACAAGTAATAACTCGAGTAATTAATTCTGGCAGTCTGCGCTACTTTCACTAAAACGACCATAACTCAAGATATCCAATTCGGAATTAAAATCTTATTAATGCGTTAGAAACTAGACTTGACAAGCTTTCTATCCATATATGGCTCATCTCGTGATTCTTTGTGGATTAATTATAACAATTTTTGTAATCCACGTCATATGCTGCTGCCAGACAGCCTGTATACCTTTTCATAAAAATTACGTATTTATTCATAGGTAACTCCAAATTCAATTTCGCTTATTTCGTTGAAAAGTAGACTCGATAAGATTTCCAAAAATATATGGCTTAAACTGTAAATCCTTGTATAAAATTTAGGGAAATTTCGTAATTCCCCTTACTACTGCTACTAGGCAGCCTGCACCTCCTTAGGTAAAAATTGGATAACTCTTCATAGGGAACTCGAATTCGACTCCCGTTTGTTTAATTAGAAAGTAGATTCAACATGCTTTCCAACCATATATAGTAATCATAGTAGTATTTAACCCTTTAATACAGAATATAACTTAATTCATCACTACAAACATATGATTCATATCAGGATTTATACGAAACAAAGATTTTCCTTCTATTCCCATCAAATTTTTGTTTCAAACAATAAATTCACATTACCAACTTTCCTCAACACTTAACTTGACTCTAATTAAAGTCTAAATCATCTGCCCAAAGAGGGATAATGGAAACCCTAAAATTTTAGGGTTTCTCGATTATAATCTACACTTTAAACTTAACCATCAATACTCCAAAAATTGAAAAAAAAGATTATTTACTCACCTCTAACAGATAATTTCTCCTTGTTGATTTGTTCTTCCTTTCACTTGAATCCTTCATATGATCTATTCTGTATAAGAAACATATGAGAAATAGTCTCTGTTTTTATTACGACTAATCGTCGACTGAAAACTAAAAAGTTAACTCTATTAATAAAAATTTGGGTTATTTATCAATAAGTCCTCTACACTTATCATTCTTTATTAAAGAGTCCCTCACTTATAAAAATACTTAAAATAGTCCCTTTTTTTTTCCGGGTATTACAATCTTCCCAACTTATAAAAAGTTCGTCTCGAAACTTGATTTACTTCATTTTCGAATAACTGAGGATGTCGTTTCTTCATATCATCTTCCATTTCCCAAGTTGCTTCTCTTGGTGTATGATTGCTCCATTGGACTTTTATAAAGGGAATAGTTCTATGCCTTAAGACTTGCTCTTTTCGATCAATTATTCGAATAGGATATTCCAAGTATGTTAAATCTTCTTGAACTTCTAAAGGTTCATACTCTAGTCACGTGGCTTGGGTTAAGACATACTTCTCTTCTCAACATGCGACACATGACAACAACATTGTGGCACACCAGATAGCTGAGGTGGCCAAGGCTATCCTATATTGCAACCTCTCTCCCACCATTATCAGAATTTCAAATGACCTATATAACGCTCCGGCTTCACGCTTTCCTCACTTCCAACCGCATAACACTTTGTGGGTGACACTCTCTCAAAAAATAAAATCCCCTTGTTGAACATTCTACCTCCCTCTCTTTTTTTATCTGCCCAACTCTTCTGACGATCTTGTGCTGCTTTAAGTCTCTCCTTAATCACCTTGATCTTTTCTACAGTCAGTTGCACCATTTCTGGCCCTAGGAGTTTTCTTTCCCCAACATCATCCCAACATAAAGGGGATCTACACTTTCTACCATACAAGGCCTCAAAAGGAGCCATCCCAATACTAGATTGATAACTATTATTATAAGCGAACTTCGCTAAAGGTAAGTAATCATCCAAACTACCTTTTAGATCAATCACTCATGCTCGAAGCATATCTTTTAAAATCTGATTTGTTCTTTCTGTTTGCCCATCTGTCTGAAGGTGAAAGGCTATACTCAATTTCAAATTTATCCCCATAGCTCACTGTAAGCTTACCCAAAACTTAGAAATAAATCTAGAATCTCTATCTGACACAATACTCACTGAAACTCCATGCAATCGGATAATTTCACCTGTGTACAATTGTGCTAGTTTATCAAGTGGAGTAGTCGACTTGATAGATAAGAAATGAGCTGATTTAGCGAGTCTATCAATAATTACCCACACTATATTATTCCCTTTAGATGACCTAGGCAACCCCATCACGAAATCCATAGAGATGTGCTTCCACTTCCATTCCGGTATCTCCAAAGGTTGTAACAACCCTGATGGTCTTTGGTGTTCAGCTTTAACTTGCTGACACACTAGACATTGGGACACAAACTGAGCTATGTCACGTTTCATATTATTCCACCAAAAACTTCCTTTCAAATTTTTATACATCTTAGTGCCTCCAGGATGTATAGTGAATCGAGACCCATGTGCTTCCTCCAAGATTTCTCGTTTTAGAACAAGATCATTTGGTACACACAATCTATTTCTAAAACGTAATGTGCCATCATCGTGAAGGTTAAACTCTGATTGCAAACCATTCTGCACTTCTGTCTTAACTCTGTCTAACTCACTATCTTCTTTTTGTGCAAATTTTATCTTTTCGATCAAAATTGGTTGAACCACCAAACTAGCCATAACAACATCTTTTCCCTGTATAATCACCTTGATTTGCTACGTATCAAGTTCCTCTAACAATTTTGGTTGCCAAGTAAGCAAAGAAGCCATACTTCCAATGGACTTTATACTAAGAGCATCAGCAACTACATTAGCTTTGCCCGGATGATAATTGATGGTCAAATCATAATCTTTGATTAATTCCAACCATCTTCTCTGTCTCATGTTCAACTCTTTCTGTGTAAACAGATACTTTAAACTCTTATGATCCGTATAAATTGCACAAGGCTCCCCATACAAATAATATCTCCATATTTTCAAAGCAAACACAATGGCAGCTTACTCTAAGTCATGAGTCAAATAATTCTGCTCGTAGGTTTTTAATTGCCTAGAAGCATAAGCAATTACCCTTTCATTCTGCATTAACACACAACCCAACCCCTTTTTGGAAGCATCACTATAAATGGTAAAACTACCAATATCAAAAGGTAAAGTAAGGATAGATGCTGAAACCAATCGTTGCTTTAGCTCTTGAAAACTCTGTTTACATTCTTTAGTCCATTCAAATTTTGCTCGCTTTTGAGTTAAACGAGTCAATGGCACAGTAATTTGAGAAAACTCCTTAACAAATCTTCTATAATAACTTGCCAAGCCTATAAAACTTCTTACTTCTGTCACATTTATCGGGCGAGGCCAATTCACCACTGCCTTCATCTTTTTTGGATCAACTAAAATCCCATCTTCAGAAATAACATGACCAAGAAAACTAATACTTGTCAACCAAAATTCATATTTGCTAATCTGTTCTCTCTAGTTAGAAGCCAGTTTGACATGAATTACTTTACTTCATCCATGTTCTTTCCTGAATGCAGGTTGCTTCTATATCCTTCTTTTGCTTCTCTACTTGGAATAGAGAAACTTCGTCAGTGTTGTGCTACGTGGTTGCTTCTTGAGCAATTTCTTCTACGGTTTCATAATTGGAAGGTGTGAAAACTGAATGTATATTGAAAAACTGCTTATCTACAATTATACAAGAATCTTAGGTTTATATACAACTAACTAGGGGTTAAACTAGGAAAACTAAATCTTCCTTAATTCTAGAGATACAAATACTTAATTCTAGAGATACAAATATAAATATACAGATTACAAGATTACAACCAGCTGTAAATAAGTGTTTCCCACACTCCCCTCAAGCTGGTGAATAGGTGTTTTCTATTCCCAGCTTGGAAATCAATTTCTTGAAATGTTGCAACCGCTGAGACTTTAGTCAACACATCTGCAAGTTGAACCTTTGGTTGATACATAAGGTGTACAAATCAACCCACTGTCTAGTTTCTCCTTTATGAAATGCCGGTCTACTTCAATGTGTTTTGTTCTGTCAATGTGCATAGGATTGTGTGCAATGCTTATTGTAGACTTGTTATCACAGTAGAGTCTCATTGGTCCATCCCACTTGATCTCAAGTCTTCTAGGATAATCTTTAACCATAGTAGTTCACAAATTCCTATGAAGCCATTGCTCTGACCTGCTTCAGCACTTGATCTTGCCACACATTCTGTTTTTTATTCCTCCAAGTCACAAGACTTACCACCGTAGAAAGTGGCAGTAGCCTGAGGAGATCTTCTATCAGTTACTGGACCTGCATAATCAGCATCTGTATATGCTTCTAGAACTAACTCCGAATCTCCTTTTGAATAAGAATACCTCTCCCAGGATTGGCCTTACAAATAGGTGCAATATACGGTAGACAGGCCTGTAGGTGGCACTTCTTTAGGACTATGCATAAATTGACTTATCACACTCACAGCATATGGTATATCAGGTCTAGTATGTTGAAAGATAAACGGTCTTCCAACTAATCTTTGGTACATCTCTCTATTTACCAGGCAGCATCTTCATTAGCTTCTCAAATTTTATGATTAGGATCTATAGGGGTATTTTGCAGGTTTACATGCAAGCTTCCCCAGTTTCCTTCAGAAGATCCATCACATATTTCTGTTGTGAGATAAAAATACCATGCCGTGAGTGAGCTACTTCAATTCCTAGGAAGTACTTCAATCTCCTTAGCTCTTTTATCTCAAATTCTCTAGCCAAACACTGTTTTAGAGATTTTCTCTCTTTTCATGATCTCCAGTTACAATTATATCATCAACATACACTAATAGAACTGTGACTCTCCTGAATCAGAGTGCTTGATAAACAATGTGTGATCTCCTTGACTCTGTTTATATCCCATTGCTAGCATCACTTTGGCAAATCTCCCGAACCAAGCTCTAGGAGACTGTTTAAGGCCATATAAAGCCTTTTAGCCCTGCATACTTTGTTTGCTTCTAGATGACCTTCAAATCTCGGTGGAACCTTCATATATATTTCTTCTTCCAAATCACCATGTAAAAAAGCATTCTTTACATCAAATTGTTGAAGCTGCCAATTGTAATTTGCAGCTAATGATAACAAAATCCTAACTGTATTCATCTTGGCAACTGGAGCAAAGGTTTCCTGGTAATCCACTCCATAGGTCTGAGTGTAGCCCTTAGCCACTAACCTGGCTTTATACCTTTCAACAGTACCATCTGCCTTGTATTTTACAGTGAAAACCCATTTACACCCCACTGAATTTTTTCCTTTAGGTAACTCTACCAGTTCCCATGTCTGATTTTTCTCTAAGGCCTTCATTTTTATTTTCATGGCTTGCCTCCATTTCTCGCTGGATAATGCCTCGGATAATGTAGCTGGAACAGAAATAGTGTTTAGGCTCACAAGAAAATTTTTGTGGGATGGTGAGAATTTTCAAATGACACAAAATTAGATGTTGGGTAATAGTGGATGCTTGGTACATTCTCTGGTTCCCTTTCCTAATGGCAATAGGCAAATCATAATCACTAGTTATAGTTTTAGGAGATTCATGCTCATTTTGAGAAACAGAGTCAAAAACTGTAGTTACCTCATTTCCAGAGTTAGGATCAGGTTCTTGGACTGGCACTGGTTCAGGATCTGGAACTTTCCTTCTTGAGTACACCTGTAATTCCCTTCATAGAATCAAGAACAATATTATCCTTTGTCCACATCTTTCGTATTTGGAATGGGTTCAGACTCAAATTCAATGTTTGACTTGGGCTCAGTAGAAACAGGTTTCGACTCATAAGAATTAATGGGTGTAAATGTTGAAGAAGGGGGCAAATCAGCAAAAGAAGTCTTTATCCTTATCTTCCATGAATGAAGTCTCCCCCTGAAGATAAGGTTGAGTAAAAAATGGTTTATTTTCTTCAAAAGTGACATCTACAGACACATAAAATTTTTTGGTAGGAGGATGATAGCACTTATATCCTTTTTGATTTGAAGAATACCCCACAAAAATACACTTAATCGCTCTTGGATCCAACTTTCCCCTGTTATGACTGTGAACATGAACAAATGATATACAACCAAATATCCTAGGTGTGAGATTGTGTGTGGTATTGAGGTTGGGATAAAATTGTGAGAGTAGTTCCATAGGAGTTTTAAATCCAAAACTCTTGAAGGTAACCTATTTATAATGTGTGTGGCAGTGAGAACAGCTTCCCCCAATAAGATTTAGGTACATTTGCTTGAAAAAGAAAGGCTCTGGTTGTGGCTAATAAATGACTGTTTTTTCTCTCTGTCACTCCATTCTGCTGTGGAGTATTAACACAAGATGACTCATGGATAATCCCCTCTTTTTGAAAATAGGTGGATAGACTCTGGTTGAAGTAGTCTTTTGCATTATCAGACCTAAATCTCTTGATTCTTACTCCAAATTGATTTTGGATCATGTTTTGGAAGCTTAAAAACACACTATTCACATCTGATTTGGATTTAAGTAAAAAAACCCAAGAGACCCTAGTACAATCATCTATGAATGAAACAAACCATCTCGCACCAGAAATATTAAGAATTGTAGAGGGACCCCAAATGTCACTATGAATCAAGTAAAAATGAGTAGAACTTCTTTTGTTACTGATTGGAAAAGACACACGTCTATGTTTTGCAAATTCGCAAATATCACAATGAAAATCTGCAACATTTAATTCTTTGAACAAAGAAGGAAACATGTTTCTCAAGGTTCCAAAAGAAGGATGTCCAAGACGAAAATGATAAAGCCAGATTTTGTCTTTATTAGAAGATTTTTCAGAAAGAAATGACAAAGGTAAACTATTTTTGATACTACTTGTGTTATTTGATGTCTCAAGATAGTATAGTCCATCCTTCTCCTTAGCAAGTCCAATCATCTTCCCCGAACTCTGGTCTTGAAATTCACAATAAGAGGGATAAAAAGTTACTTTGCAATTCATATCTCTGGTAAGTTTTTGTATAGATATCAGATTAGTAGACAATCCAATAACATGAAGAACATTTTTTAGAACAAACGAGGGATTAACTTGAACATCTCCTAATCTTGCCACTGTGGTAAGTGAACCATCAGCAACAACAATTTTCTTATTACTAGGACACAGATTATATGTACTAAACTTTTCTGGGGAATGTATCATGTGGTCTGTGGCTCCTGAGTCAATGACTCAAGAACTCGTAATAGGCTTAGCCGAGACATTTAATCCATGAGAACCGGAAGCTTTACCTGAACTAGAAACTTTACCCAAAGAACATACCATAGTAGGCTTTTCAAGGATTTTCAATAAGTTTCTCAGCTTTTCAATCTCTTCCCTGTTGAACTCTCCTTGTTTCTGAGACATCTGTAGTACTCCAGTGATTTTTCCAGTTAACATTTCCTCAAATTGGGTGATAGTAATATCTTTCTTTGAAAGGGTTCGGCAATGAAGGCCTAAACAGGATTCGGCAATGAAGGCCTAAAAAAGTCGGCAATGAAGGCTGAAAATTTTTCTTCCCAAGAAGAGCCTAAAGCTCTGATACCATGTGGAAACTGAATGTATATTGAAAAACTGCTTATCTACAATTATACAAGAATCTTAGGTTTATATACAACTAACTAGGGGTTAAACTAGGAAACTAAATCTTCCTTAATTCTAGGGATACAAATACTTAATTCTAGAGATACAAATATAAATATACAGATTACAAGATTACAACCAGCTGTAAATAAGTGTTTTCCCACAGAAGGTATGAGGTGGCTTTGCTTTCCAAGAGTGGTGCAGTAATTGATTTTGTTGATTCGAAGATTCATCTCAAGTCCTCTGCCGTGCATAGATTTTTGCATATCATATTTCTGAACATGTTATTATTATTCAGTGGGAATATACAGGAGAATCACCTCGAAGTGGCGTAGAGAATCTAATTGCTAAAGTGCCCTTATTGAGCAAGGGGTCAACATCTGATTACGGTCCTGCTAAACTGTTACTTAATGGGGTTGGCTGGTCAATTCCACAATCACAAGGAATTAGAGGTGCCAAAAATTTGATGCCTCAAAGACATTTGGCCAATGCTAATCAGAGTTCAGTCCAAACACATGAAACAGCTTCAAACCATTTCAAGAGAGAACCCTGGTTTTGGTTCCCTACTCCAGCTGCTGGCTGGGATGGCTCTGACCTTGTTGGACGCTTTGGGAGTCCGAAAGATGAATTCCCATGGAAGATAAGAGCATCTGTTTTATCCTCAGTTCGTGCACATCAAGGGGCCCTGAGATCTTTAGCTGTTTGCCAAGATGAGAATACAGTTTTCACTGCCGGCATTGGTCCAGGGTTCAAAGGAACTGTTCAGAAGTGGGATTTGACAAGAATAAATTGTGTATCTGGATATTATGGTCATGAGGAGGTTGGTTCTGTTATTATGTTGCATTCCAATAGAACTCTGATATCCCTCGTCTATTTCTGTAATTATGTTGGTGATACGTTATCTATGTTGACCTGATATCCCTTGTTTCATTGAGTCTTCAGGGATTTAATGCAGTGAGAGAGATAAGATAAAGAGTGGATAGGTATAGGTACTGCTGCAGGAATATGATATTTTGCTAAATATCTACTGGAACACATGCAATATACTGTCTCCTTATCTAGTCATGCTATTAGTATGAAAGTACTTTATTGATCTGTTTGGTTATTGTCCCTTTGGATGTGATCGCACCATTTTGGTATTATAGTGGCCATGTGTTGATGAGGGTCATATTCAACTGACGATTGGTGAAAATATTGTGAAGACACTAAGTTTCTTTTACATGTTTGTCTATATTCTTTGGCTAAGCTTGTCAGACTTTCAGTCTCAGTTATGATATATTTCTTAGCTAAGCTTGCTATGCTTTTGGTAATATAATTGTGGCTATGTGGATTTCTCTAATTGCTTTTGGAACTTTCAGGTTGTAAATGACATATGCATCTTATCATTGAGTGGAAGAATAGCATCTTGTGATGGAACAATACATGTTTGGAATGGCCAAACAGGGAAGCTGATATCAATATTCTCGGAACCATCCACAGATTCCCTTCATCTTGCAAGCCCTTTATCTTCTCCATCAAAGATCAGTGCTGACCATGTTGATATGTTGAATTCAAACACATTATCAAGTGGAGTACTTAGTAGTCCATTTGATGGAAGCTTGTACACTTGCATGCACTATTTAGAGCATGTTGAAAAGGTTGTGGTCGGCACTGGAAATGGTTCTCTCAGGTAGCTAGTTACTATTAAGAGTGAGATTTCAATTGTTAAATCAATCTGATATAAATAAAGAATCGTGTTGTAATGCCTTTCTGCTTGTATTTTTCTACATGAAACAGATTTATTGATGTTTCCAAGGCCGAAAGCTTCATTTATGGAAAGGGTGAATTCAGTGAATCTGCTTTCCTTCTCTTGTCTCTGCCATATGTTTCATGTGGGTCTGACAAGAGCAAGAAATGGAGTTTATGCTTCACCACGTTGGACTGCAGCTGACTAAGTTCTGGTCACTGCCGTTGTTTGATGTGAGGAGTGGAAATGTTATTGCTTGTTGGAGGGCTCATGATGGATATGTTACAAAGGTATATGCCTAATTCACCAAATTAGTGGGAGAAAGAACTTATACTCGAAATGCAAGTTTCATTCATTTTGCATACATGCAGTTGGCTGCCCCAGAAGAACATTTGCTTGTTTCCAGCTCTCTGACAAGACTTTGGAGAATTTGGGACTTGAGAAGGTAATTATTGAAGTTGAAATTTCATGTTATTGAGATAGAAATATACAACGCTTCATTAGAAACATTTTGCAGTTGGGTTGATATCCATGCAATTCTGATTGCTTCACTAATTGTTTCTTGCAGAAATTTACCGGAGCCTGTCACTTTCAAAGGACATAGTGATGGAATATCTGGTTTCTCTCTGTGGGGCCAGGATGTTATTTCAATTTCCAGAAATAAGATTGGACTTTCCTCATTAGCTAAATCCGCTGATGAAGTACGTAAACAACAATATATGTCTCACTCTATTTGCGTTAAGTTAAAGCACATAGCTTATATCTCAAGCCTTTAATGTTATTTGGATTGCTAATGGATGTTTCCTCATTGCTATATGGATTACTAGTATTATCTAGTTTTATCAATTTTCATATTTAGTGCTAAAGAAAAAAAAAGAAAAAGGTTTTCCCATAATGATAGTGAAAACTGAAATGCATATGGCAGGATGGGCAACATCGAGTAATACCTCAAAAGCTGTACTCATCAGATAATGGAAGTAGAAACATGTCGGTGCTGTCAAGTATAAGTATAATACCTTTCTCTCGACTGTTTGTAGTCGGAACAGAAGATGGTTATCTGAGAATCTGTTGTTAGATGGGAGATGGGAGATGTTCCCTGCGCTGATGAATCATCAATGTCGGTCAAACCAGCTAACGAATGGGCTTTTCTTGTTTAGTCTATAGTTTTGTCTGTAAATTTTCAAGTGCAATGACTAATGAAATTCATTCAAAAAGATTGTTTTGCCAAATTTCTGGTCTGAATAAAGTCGCAAACTTTTTTCTTTTTTCTCCTGTGTTATACATATGTAATGTACTAAGGGTTATGATATTCATGTAAGATATTATAATCATAGTTGTGTATTAGTTTTGAATGATTTGGTACTCTCATCCCATCCCATGAATTAATATTACTATCATTGTTTTGTTTTCTAAATAAATATATGCCAATGGCAGATTAATACTTATAAAGGAAGAGGAATTCAGAACCGTGAATTTTAAAAAAGGTGTATCAATCAAACTCTGCTAATGATAACACTGGCTCAGAATTGCTAGTTGATCTTTCATTTTACCAACATCCCATTACTATTTTTCTTTTTTTGTTTTTTTTTTTTTTGTTTTAATTAACAGCAATTTGATTATTTAGCAGTCTAAAGACTGGTCTCAATGTAATTGTAGCTTTCAATATCCCAAAGAATAGCCCTATGCTTGAGGTTTGGTTTTTACATTTTTGCATCACATCCTTTGATTACAAGAGTCACACTATTCATTGACATTTGGTTTTAATTAAGGCAACATCTGTTAGGAAAATGGGGTCCAGTCCCATGTAAGTGGTTTTGGACCAAGTAAAGGTCATGGGCCTTGATCTTTTATTTTACACAGAGCCCTAGCTACTTAATAAAAAAGAGGTGGGGTTGTTTTGTGTGTGTGTCGAAAACCAAGCAGAGAAAGAAGAAAAGCCAAGAAAAGCAGAGAGAGAAAAAGGAGAAGGGAGAGTTGGTTGAACGGAAGTCGATCCGTGGTCCGATTGAGTTGGAACCTTGTCAGGAGGTTTATGATTCAGAGTTTTACATTCTGAATGGTGAAGATCGGGTTTGAAGCTCTCTAGGAACAGATCCAGGGTGTATTTGTTGAGTCACTTATTTGGTGAGATTTCTCCAATTGTTTCTCTAGTGGTTGATTAGCTCTAGTTTTAGCTAGAGAAGAACTTTGTATAACTATTATTTGATAGTGAAGATTTTTCTGGCGGCCCGTGGTTTTTTCCCTCTACACTGGAGGGTTTTCCACGTAAATCTTGGTGTGCTTTATTTTTCCTGCGTATTTGATTATTGATTGTTGTCTATTGCTTCTGTATTGTTGTGATTATTGCTTCAGGCGCAACAACATCTTATAGGTTGATCTTTGTATTCCCATCATCATTTTGGTTCCCCTTTTCTATCTTGGTTTGTACAGGCAAATGCTGAAAAGAAGTTGGTAGAGAAGCTAATTGCCCTGGGCTACTCGAGGCCTAAATCCCCGGGGCCAGGGTTGTCTTCATAGCCAAACACTCTGATTTATATTTGCATTGTATTTGTAGCAGCAAGCAAGTAGATTATACTAGTCTACAATGTAGAATCAGTTATGGGATCTTTTTTAATTCATTTTATTGAATGGTTGAACCACTATTCTCATTAATCAATAATTCTGTAATTTGTTTGTTCTGAAGGGAAGGCAAGCATGTATGTAGCTATGTTAGTTAGTCACATGGGAACAAGTTGGAGTGCTCATGGAGCTCAAGAATCTTAATTATTCTTTTCCTACTTCGGGGTAACCTTAAAGATTAGACCATAAAAAAAGGCTCTGAGATTTTGTATTTGTAGACGATTACAATGATTTATACATTTTTTTAGTTAGTACGAACAATTCATATCGTCAATTAAAGATTTAGTTTATATATATATTTGAATAAAATAACTAAGTGGGACTTTGACGTTCACATTAATGAAATATATACAATCTAATTCAGCCATTGCAATCCAACTGCATATTATTATTATTATATATATATTTTGCACTAAAATCAGAGAAGGATGTGGATGAGAAGAAACACCGGTTGGCTCAATAGGGCTGGGCTGGCTTGTTTGGTAGACCCTCTTAGAAAAAGAAATTAAAAAGAGATCCGTACTATTATACTTGTAAATATGTGATATCATTAGGCATGGAAGAACTAATTTTCAACCAGCTAGCTTTTTGATTTATTCTCATTTCATTGGATTGCAGAGCCTGCAAGGAAAAGGTACATGGTATATTCTTTAAAAACTTCTACTCGAAAAAATGCTTCCTTGGTTTTGAAAACCTTGATTACTTGATGGTCCATGTTTCATTCAGCAAGTAGAGAATGGATGCTTGTTGATTTGTTACAACAATCTTCTCTATAATCAAAGGATAACAGTCGATTCCTCAAAAAACTTTTTACGTTTGGAATAACAAACGCTTTCTAGTCTCCTTATAATATATCTATATATATATATATGTATATAACCTGCTTATTTGATCCTACAAGGTTGTAATATTGTCTAAGAATTTGCACCCAAAAATTTGTCTCCATGGCTAGTTCCATCTCCAGCAACCTAGGCGAGGGTAGCTATCCTTGAAAGATGTTTGTCTATGATTTTGTGCATGCAATGCCTGGTTTAGTGTTTTTATTAATTTCTGCTCATATTTTTGCCCTAATTATAAGCCTTATTGTCTATGACACTATTAATTGCAGAAGTTGCAAGATCCATATCAGAAGAATCACCGAGTCATTACATACTAAAGATACAGTCATTTTCATTACTTATAAAGAATGGCATAGAAAAATATGAATCTGGAGAGTTTGAAGCTGGTGGATACAAATGGTATTATTAATTTCTTTATATATATATTTATTTATAGTACTATATGTTTATCACTGATCGGTAATGTTAGCATTAGCAACCTGTAGTTTTTTGTGTAGGAACTGCACTAGCTTAGCCTAACTTTTATTTCTGTATGTGCTCACAGGAAACTGCTTCTGTACCCAAATGGAAACAAGAGCAAAAATGTGAAAGAGCACCTTTCTCTCTACTTGCTTTTGGCTGATGTTAGTTCTCTCATTCGTCACAGTCGGGAGGTCCACGCTATTTTCCGGTTTTTCTTGCTTGATCAGATCAAGGACAAGTACTTGATAGTTCATGGTACATATTAATTCCATGCAGTTTTCTTTTTTATTTTTTTTTCAAATTATCAATGAACGTGACAGTTTCAAAGCTTTAATTATGATTTTTTTTCTGATTTTGTAGCAGCATTTTACTTTAGATTGTATATATACATAGATGAAGGTGCTTCATTCGAAATTAATTTTTTTATTGCCATGCCTAGATGCCAAGGAAGAAGACAGGCGCTTTCACAGATTGAAGCATCAATGGGGATTTGATGAGTTCATCCCAATTAGAATGTTTAATGACGTTTCCAATGGATACCTCCTGGAGGACAATTGTGTGTTTGGAGCTGAAGTGTTTGTTACCAAGGAAATGAGCTCAGGAAAAGGAGAAAGCTTATCAATGATAAAAGATGCTGTGAGTTCCAAGCATGTTTGGAAGATTGAAAACTTTTCCAAATTAGATTCAGAATGCCATGAATCACAAGAATTTTTTGCTGGCGATCAGAAATGGTATCCATTAATAACATACTTTTTCTTCTTCCATCTCCTACTCCTATATAATATTCTAGAGATTCAAGTTCAATTTTCAGGGGCTTTTCTTCATTGCGAGTTCACCTTCATGGTGCAGGAAAATACAGCTTTATCCAAAAGGAAGACGAAATGGATCAGGCACTCATATCTCCATGTATTTGGCTTTGGCAGATACAGCCAGTACTCTTATGGCTGGTTCTAGAATACTTGCAGAGTTCACTTTGCGTATTCAGGACCAACAGCAGAACAGGCACATTGCAGGAAAATGTATAAAAGCTCAAATTATCTATCTGTTAATAACATTCATCAAACATCCTCAAAAAAAAAAAAAGTCAAAATAAATTACATCATGGATATATCATATATCAAAACTTAAAATTTTGGTTTCTCTTGTTGCAGATAGTTACTGGTTTAGTGCCTCAAACCAAGAAAGTGGGTGGGCAAAATTTGTTTCTTTCCCGTATTTCTATCGTTCGGGCATTGGCTTTCTAGTGAAGGATATATGCATGGTGGAAGCAGAGGTGACTGTCCAGGCAGTTGCTACTACTTTGTAACTATTTTTTTTTTTATATGAATTGTAACTAAAAACACTTTAGTAGCCATTCTTATGATCTGGTATTGTTGTACTTGTAAAAAAGTGGAAGAGTCTCCTATTTATACTGTGTCTTGGAAAATATAATTATTATAAAAAACAAATTACAATATATGCTGTTGAGATTTCGGAGGATTTGGATTAGTCCCCACATATTTTTTCTAAATAGAGTTGAAGATAGTAGATTGAGATATTGTTAAGTTGAAGATTCTCTGAAGATCCAAGTAAGATCAATAGCTGTTAGTTAGAATTGATCAATTAAGTAGCCAACTGAAACCGTGATTGATCTCCTATGCAAGATACGAATTCTCATAGACAAAACCAAAGCAAATTGATTGTTTTGCAGTGCTAAAGACTGTCCTCAATGTAATCATGGTTTGCAATATCCCAAAGAATAGTCCCATGCTAGAGGTTTTGCTTCTTTTTTTCCTTCTTGTTTCTCTAGTTGCCAATGCATATCCTTTCAACTTCACTACCAATTGACATTTAATATAATTTAAGAACAAGGATCAGGCAGTCATATCTCCAAGTATTTGGCTTTGACAGATTCAGCCACTTTACTGCTGGTTCTCAAATATTTAAAAATGCTCAAATTATCTGTTAATAGCATTCATCAACTATTCTCAAAATTAGAAAAAAAAAAAAGGAAAAAGAAAAAACTCTTGTCAAATAAATTACATCATGGGTATATCAGTACTTAAAATTTTGATTTCTCTTGCAGTTAGTCTCAGGTTAGTGCCTCAAGCTAAGAAGTGGGGTGGGCAAAATTTGTTTTTGGGGTAAATCTATCATTCGGGCACTGGCTGAATACATTGTAACTAATAAATTGGGACTAATGTTTGCTGTTCATGGTGAAAAAAAGGAGACAAATTTCATCTATCTATTCCACAAGCTTAAGAGTCTACAAACCAGGGCAGTTAATTCCTGGCATGGGTTTTTACGTGTTTTAAGAAAGTTCTGAAGTTATAGCGCTTTCTTACTGCCAACATATGTGAGAGAGGAGAGCCTTAAAACTCATTATATATATATATATTGTAATTACATAATTGAAGAAGAGATTGAATAATAAAAGAATACTGGAGAAATTTTGCAGCTGAGATAGATATTCCATATCAGTCAGCTTATCAAGGTTGAATTTTAGGGTCTTGATCATAACTTTGTTCACAGCTTTCAGCTTTGCTTAGTTTGAGTCTCAAGATCATATTCCGGTTGACCTATACAGGGCTTGATCA